GCGCAGTGCCCGTCCACGAAGATCTGGATCCTGTTGCCCAGCTCTTTCCAGAGGGTCGCCTCGTGGAGGCGGAGGTGGAGCGCCCACTTGGAACCCTTCTCGCCGTGCTCGATCGATGCCACGATGAGCACGGCGAGCTCGACCTGACTTGGGCCGGCTGCGCCCATTCCAAATGCGCCGCGATGTGGATGAGGATGGCGATGCTGCAGAGGACATCAGAAACAGGAGGAGGTTGAGGAGACAGAGGAGGAGGAGGAGGAGGAGGAGGAGGAGGTGGAGGAGGTGGTGAAAGTGGGGGGGAGGGTGGGACGAGGATTATTTGTTTTTTGGCATGAAGTGCGAGGCTGAGGATTAGCGTCACGGAGCCGACTCACTCGCGAGATCGGACCCCCTTGGGTGCAGACCTTTGCGTATTCGATTGAGAGACCAGGTCTGCTTCGTCGCTGGCTCTCTGCGTTACTTAGCTAAGCCTCGGACATAGCTCAGGGTGGTGTAGGAACTGCATTTTGAACAGACTGTAAGACCACCATCCGAAACTAAGCGAGACACTGCATTATGGTTCAGTGCCTGGAGAGAAGGACCATCAAGCCTGGACACGTCAGGACATTCGCCTCCAGCGGGCTGAAGATCACCTCTCCCCTTTCTCGCTATCAAGCAGTCCTGAAAGCGCCAAAGCTTGCTCTGGGCCCATCAGGAGCCTGAGGGGGGCACAGGAGGGGCAACCCAAGAGCACTCAGTGAGGTCTTAACAAGGCCATATTGGGAGCACGTTAGCAGCCACCGCGCACACAGCTTTGGACACTGATGTGCTGAAAGAGGGCTTGTGTAGCTGTCCCTCAGAAAGCGCGGGGTGTGTACTCGCGCCGAGCTTCGCAGCCAAATCGGCTTCGTTGTTGCCAGCACGCCTCCAGCGCTCACTGGCCGAGATGCTCGCTTCCAGCGGGTCTTGGTGAGCACTTACCCCATCACGACCGACTGGACGATCCCGCCCACGACGAAACCTGATCATTAGTCCAGCGGGCGGCCACTTGTAATCATGCTGCACAATGCTGGGGCCAGCGCGCTGGTTGTCAACATGAACACAGTCCGAGTAAAGTCGGACCGAGGTGTAAGATCGAGGTCGGTTCGGAGAGGGTACCCATGTGTTATTTCTGTTTATTGGGTGCTCCAATGCATCCTGGGGAGGGTACTATTAGATGTTCTATAGGTGTTGGCCGACCCAGGTTCTCATGTTCTTGAGGGATGTTCTTCTGTCCTAGGTCCGACTGTATAATTATGTTGCGCAATGCTGGGGCCAGCGCACCTGCTTGCCAACAGGAATGTAGTCCGAGCATATCGTCGAGACGTCCTCAACCTCCAAACCTCCTCGGGCCACTGCAGCGACCTCAGCACACTGCGATGCCTGCAACAAAGGGAGCGTGAGCAGGACCGTACCTGCGCTCTGTCCTCTGGCTTTCGTCCCCCAGGAGCACCAGCCCGCATCCTGCTCGAGACGGCTCGCAAGTCTCGTGCCGCTGGCAACTGCAATTGGCAACACTCTTCCCTGCAAGCTTGCCAACCACTTGGGGGCTTCGTCCCAACACATCCTGGTCTGGAACACGCAGTCTTCCGGGGGGGGCGGAGGATTAGAGGGATGTTGATGATGATGATGATGATGATGATGATGATGATGATGATGATGATGATGATGATGATGATATTGATGATGACGCTGATGCCGATGATGCTGCTGATGATGCTGCTTATGCTGATGATGCTGATGTTGATGCTGCTGATGATGCTGATGATGCTGATGATGCTGATGATGCTGAGGCTGATGATGATGCTGATGATGATGCTGCTGTTGATGGCAATGCTGATACTGCTGATGACTATGCTGATGCTGCTGATGGTCATGATGATGCTGATGGTGATGATGCTGCCGCAACTGATGCTGATGATGATACTGATGCTGATGCTGATGGTGCTGCGGCTGCTGATGCTGCTGATGATGATCGGATTAGGTTGCTGATCATGCCGGTGATAATCGTGATGATGATGGTGATGTTGCTGCTGATGATGATGACAACGATGATGATCCTGATAATGAAGGTGATGCTGATCCTGACCATGATGATGCTGATGATGATGCTGGTGATGCTGATGATGCTGCTGATGATGCTCATACTGCTGCTGCTGATGAGGATGATGATGCGTATGCGGATGCTGCTGCTGATGCTGCTGATGATGCTGATGATGTTGATGATGCTGATGATGTTGATGATGCTGATGATGATGATGCTGATGCTGCTGCTGATGCTGATGCTGCTGATGTTGCTGCTGCTGATGATGCTGCTGCTGATGATGATGCTGGTGATGCTGATGCTGATGATGGTGATGCTGATGCTGCGGATGTTGCTGCTGATTCTTCTGATGATGCTGATGATGATGCTGATGATGATGCTTATGCGGATGCTGCTGATGATACGGCGGATGATGAGGCTGATGCTGATGCTAATGCT